ATAGATTTTAATTAGGGTTTTAATTGCCGCATTTTATTTTTAGTTAAATAATTCTGTATCTGCGAAAGCCATGTAATAGTTAGGTTTTATATTTTCGCACTTTTAAATTTCCGCAATTTTTTAACTGTTAGATGTCTGCTAATAGGGTTGTATGGGAAGAATACTTGAAAATTAAAATGGTAGATCACCTAAATGTACAAAGACTAACTAACTAAAAAATTTACATGCACATATTCACTCCTAGGGTTTGCCTCACTTCGGTTGCCTTCGGTAAATAGTCATTAAGCATAGGAGATTTTAGTGGTTGTCCTCCAGTCTAAAATATTAAATGTCCCATTCGAATGTTGCCTCGGAAATATTGCCTCGGAAATGTTTCCTCGGAAATATTGCCTCGGAAATGTTTCCTCGGAAAGATCTTAAGACTCTAGGGTTACTACTAAGGTTTCCTACCCATTACTTTGGTGACTGTACTTGTCCCTTTCGAACGTCCCTTACAAACTCCAACGACGGGGCTACCTACTCCTTAAATAGTAGGATAGCGATGTCTAAAAGAAATGAGAACGAACAATCTTTTTCGAGTAGGTAGAATCTTAAGTACTTGCTCAACAAAACTTTTCACACAAACACCTTTCAAAATAAATTTTCAAAACAAACTTCGTCACACCCTTGAGGACTGATACAAGGGTTATCACGAAGTAAAACATTTTCAAAACAAGCACACACACAAGCAATTTTAAAATGAGAAAGTACCTAAGATCCCATGGAAAACCATGGATAGAAAGGGTGCTAACACCTTTCCTTTCTATAATCTACCCCCCGTACTCAGAAATCTCGAAAAAGGTTTTTTCTGTTCTTTTTCCTTTTCCGTGATTGGATGAAATAAAAGTCGGTGGCGACTCTTGCTTACCGCGACATTTTGCGAATGAAAAACGCAAAATGCAAACCAGTATAACAGTCGGTTCTGCCACCGTATCACAATTATAATCTCTAGTAACCACAAATAATTCACTTCAAACTTCACAGCGGAATTAATGAGTCATATCTTCTACATAAAATAATCTCAAATACCATGAAAGGTAGTTCAAATATCATTAACATTATCACACTTCATGTTTATGACGTCTTAGCTTAAAACATGGTAAAAGTCATGATAGAAATAAAAAAATCTCAAAATAGATAAATATGCAAAGTTCACAAATAATTGATTCCAACCCCGATGTTACATATCAGAGCAAGACTATCTTTATTCAACAAAAGCAAATAAACGCACTCTGAAACTATCCTCTAATGCTTCTACGGACTAATCTCGATCACATGCGCGTTACCCACATGGAGGCAATATTCAAACAGAAAGGGTGAGTAAATCATAATCATTATAAAATACATACGGGATAAATATAGTAGACATGCACATAGGCAAGGCACCAAACATCATAAAAACTTCATGTTATACTGACACTTTCACAAACATCATCAATTCATAATAAAATATTATTAAAATACCATTTATCAACAAATACCATTTAATCACATTATTATGCAATGTTACATAAAATCCAATGCATTACTGTAGGCTCATGCATGTGGTATCAAAGCTTCACTAATGAATCAATCATCGTTATCTCCAAAGATCCCCACCAATAGGATCGATTCTCGCTTGGAACTAGAGTACTTCACAATTTTGCACTCAATCTACACTATGGGATTAATTCCTTCAATGGACAATCGTCCTATCACCTTCATTGGACTGAAGTCCTAATAACATCACTGGACCGAAGTCCTAAACCATGCCATAAATGCATGATACGCGATAACATAACATATACGACCACGGCTAGTCAAAATGCGTCGTCATTCATAAAATCATCACAATGTCGTCATATCATCATAATAAACAAAGAATCATCATAACATCATCATATCATCATAATAAATAAAGCTTCATCATAACATCTTCATATCATCATAATAAACAAAGCATCGTTATAATCCAACACGGGGAACCTAACTTCATCCTAGTTTAGATATTGGAGAAATAATTATTTTATCTCGTTTTATTCCATCTAACTAAAGTTCATTGTGTTAGCTATTCAATGCTTCAAACGGCACCTCAATTTGAGTCATAAAACTCGATTTACAACTCTTTTAAGAAAATGCAACACATCTAATTGAATCTGGACACCATCGTCCGTTGATATACTTTCATCGCCTGGCGATGCTTCCATCACCATTTTATTTTCCCATTGATTCTTGGGGCGATGCACTCAAATAACGTCACTCTTTTCTTCCCTTCGTCACTCCCATTTTTTCCTAGTGACAGCCACGCGACAACACTATCGCTCGGTGACGCCTCTGCATCACCCGGTGACGCTTCTCCATCACTCGGTGACACAGCGTGAACAGAGTTTTCCTATTGTGATTTCCTGCATAAAAACCAGTCTCAATCTTGCGATTTATGCATATTATAGGTTCTAAAACATCATCTAATCATAGGGTTTTTACCAAATAGCAACAATCCAATGTATTTTACATTATGGGTACAATTTGTTTACAATCCAAGACCATAAAACATCGTTTAATTCATCTTATCATCACATATTCGTCACAACCAAAACCCATCATAATCTACATATATCTAAACCTTAAATCGATTATAATAATCAAGATAAAAACCCCTTACCTTGAGATTATTTCTAGAAATCAAATCCTCTTTGTGCTCTACCGGTATTCCTATGCTTCTCCTTGCCTCTTTATGCCCTAGGTCTCTTTCCCCACAGTGTTCTTCCAATTCTACGATCGCACAGAATAATCGTATAAACTCTCTCAACCTTTCCTTATACCAAACTTGCCCTCTTAGACCCCTAATAATGAACTTCCCATCATGTCCTCACTTATCCTTCACTAATGACCATCTTGCCCCTATTTTATTTACACCAACATTCTATTTATTTAAATCCAAATAATTCTAAATAATTACTATTAACATCTAAATAATTCCGAAATATTTATCTAAATCCTAAACACCTCTTATTATCCCATTGTTCATATTTATCCCATCAAATACCATACAAATCATCATTATAAACATCATACTCATGAAGTTATCATTATTGCATCACAAATGTATCACGTATACACATCATAAATCGTCACACGAACTCACACAAAGCACCAAAATATTATACATATCAAACACTTCACAATAACTCATATATTCACGCTAAATTAATTAAATAATAATTAATCTAGAATTTGGGGTGTTACGGTGTTGGAAAACCAACAACACCTACAACAATGAAAATCTTAAGTTAGAACTAAAGGGAGTTGGGGAGTCCCCGTGCTGTTTGAGCCTTGTTGAGGCTTAGCCGTTTGGAAAATTCCAATGTGGTATTTCTTATGGAAACGAGACTTAAACTTTTAGAATTTTAAAAGATCAAGTTCATGAGTGGATTGTAGTGGGGGTGGAAGGGTGCGAGCTTGAGGTTTAGTGCTCCTTTGGAAGGAGTGTTTGCAAGTTAACATCTAGTCTTTTTCCTTGAATCACATTACAGGGTTTTTTTTTATGTTTTTCATAATAAAGTTTGGTATTTCAATGGAATATATGATTTTCTGGAGGAGCGTAACAAAAGGAAGACTTGGGCGTTCATTCAAAATGTTGTCATGAGGAGGTGATAAAGTAATATGTTTTGGAGATCTTAATGATGTGGTGTCGGAATATGAGAAGAATGGGCGAATTAATAGGTCTGTTAGCCAACTATCGTGGGGTTGGCATGCTATGGATTTGTGTAACCTTGTCGATCTGGGATATGAATGATATCCCTTCACTTGGTCTAATGGAAGACAAGATGGGTAAAATATGCAGTGTCACTTTGATAGGGCTTTGGCTAATGATGGTTTCATTAAAAGATTATCTCCAGTTAAGGATGTGCATCTACAAAAATTCGAATATGATCACGCTGCTCTAAGTATTGTCCTTGAGGCGTCTAGTGGGTAAAGAAGAACGAAAAGGGTTTGTATTTTTCAGGTTCTAAGAGGCTTGGTCTAAGGATCCAAAGTGTGAACATATTGTTGGACAGCTTTGGCACAATCAAGCTGGTGGAGGTTTTAATAAATTGAAGGCTATGCAAGGTATTGAAAAATCCTTTAAGGATACAAGATTGGCACAATCTCTCAAGAAATAAAGAGAATTAATGAGATCCTAAAAGATGAAGATTGATGGTTTGTTAACCAAGAGGACATCAATAAGTATAAGGCCCTTGAATCTCAAAGGAATTATTTTCTCCTTACTGAAGAAGTTATCTGGAGATAGAAGAGTAGAGTCATGTGGCTAAAACATGGCGATCATAATATCAAAAGTTTCCACGGTAAGGCTAAGCAAAGAAGAAGAACAAATATTGTTAAGAAGCTTAAAGACGATTCAGGTCACTGGTGGTATGGAGAGGAGCATTGTGAGAGGTTGCTTGTCAATTATTTTTATGAAATTTTCTAAACTTCATATCCTATTAATATCTCAGAAACATGTATGGCAGTCACATGGAAGCTAAAACTAGAACATATCAGATGGTTTGAAGGCTTATATACCCAGCAAAATGTGAAAGATGAAATATTTCAGATGCATCCTCTTAAAGCCCTGGATTGAACGAATTTCCAGCGCTTTTCTATCAAAAATATTGGCATATTGGTGGTTCTTATGTAAATTGGATATGAATATCCTAAACAATAACAAGGATCCAGCTTCAGTAAACAACACTCACATTGACCTTATTCCCAAATTCAAAAATCCTCAAGCCCAAAAGATTTTCGTCTAAAAAGCCTATGTAATATGGTGATGAAGGCAGTTACAAAAATAATCCCAAATAGGCTGAAACATATTCTAACATATGTAATTGATGAAGATCAAAGTGCATTTATGAAGGGTAGACTAATTACTGATAATTCTCTAATAGCAATGGAGTGTTTCCACTAGATGAAGAAGAAAACTAAAGGAAAAAAAGAGGATGATGGCTCTGAAGCTCGATATGTCAACGGCATACGACAGATTGGAGTGAAACTTCATTTCAGAAAATTTTAACTCTACGAGATTCCCAAGTTCTATGGTTTATCTTATTAGACATTGCATTTCCTTTATGTCTTACCAAGTGCTTATCAATGGCCAACCTAGTAAGAGTTTTTGTCCTGAAAGAGGGCTTCGCCAAGGCGACTCTCTATCACCTTACCTTTTTATTTTGTGTGTTGATGCCCTTTCAGGTAAGCTAAAGCAGGAGATTCATAGTAAGAAGATTCATATTCAAATTGCAAGGAAATCCCGGGTGATTTCTCACCTATTTTTCACTGATGATAGTTTGTTATTTGCAAGAGCTAATTAGGTGGGTTATATCATGCAAACTCTAAATAAGTATCAAGATTCTTCTGGCCAAATGGTGAATTTAGATCAATTAGAAGCATCATTTAGTCTAAATGTGTGAGATGAAGATAAAGAGGTGATCTATAACTGGATGGGGGTAAAGACTGTGATGAATCATGCCAAGTATATATGCTTATTAATTATGCTCTGAAGAACAAAGAATGAGGTCTTTGTGATGGTCTAAAGCAGGAAAAGAGGTGTTAATCAAGGCGGTGGCCCAGGCTATTCCATGTTATATCATGAGTTGCTAGAAAATCCTGGAGTCCTGTTGCAAGGAGATTGAATTTATGTTGGCAAAATTTTGGTGGGCGTCCAAAGATGGTGAGAGAAAATTTCACTAGTTAAGTTGGGAGAAGATGGCGCATGCCAAAGGCGTGGGAGGTATGAGCTTTAGAGGAATTAGTGATTTCAATGTTAGTTTGTGGGGTAGATAGTATTGGAGGTTGTTAACGGGGGAGGATTCTTTGATTCCAAAAGAGTTTAAGGGAAGGTATTAGCCTAGAACCTCAATTGCGGATAGCAAACCTGGTTTTGCTCCCATCTATGCATGGAGGAGTATCCTTATTGTAAAGGATTTAGTTTCAAAAGGGTAAGGTGTAGGATTGGTAATGGTGATAAGGTGATAATTTGGTTCGATAGTTGGCTCCCTGAGAATACTGGTTTCAAGGCCTTTAGTCCTATAAACTTGCTTGATCAAGAGGCCAAAGTGAGTGAACTTATTGAAAGTGACTTGGGTTATGAAGGAAAGACTTGGTTCAAGTTTGTTTTCTCCCCACTGAAGCTACCCAAGTTCCCAGTATCCCCATCTCACTCAGACATCCTGAGGACAAACTAAATTGGCACGGTGAGAGGAATGGTGAATATTCAATCCAATCATCTTATCATACTAGTATCCATGGAAAATTAGGGCTTTCTCTTAGTCCCTCCTGCATCCCTAATCAAAACATGTGGAAGAAAATATGGAAATCACTTCTTCAAAATAGTTTTCAAAAATTCATGTTTTACAAACCCAACTGGTTTATTAACATAAATTTCTTCGTCTAAGGGTCCATTTAAGAATGCACACTTCACATCCATCTGACATATGTGCCAACTATTTATTTCTGCTAGACCAACAACCAACCTGATTGTTTTGGTTCTAGCCACAGGTGCAAAAACTTCATCGAAGTTTATTCCTTCCTATTGTAACCTAAAATTTGCCCTCCCATTTTTCATGCAAGATAATATCATAGGGTTTCTCGAATATTCAATTTGGCTCAAAGGTTGATCAGACAGATTCTCTTCCTAGGTGGAAAATCAACAATTAGGGTTTGGTATTTCTTAGAGAAAATTGAGTTTTCAAGGTTTCAAATGGTCTTCATAGGTCTTCCTATATCTTCAAGGATGTTTATGCCAGTTTTCAAACTTTACATTGCAAGTTTGCTCAGTCGTTGGCTCAGATAACTGAAAACGATTACATTAACCCAAAAATCGACCTTTTGCGAGAGCAAGTTCAAACGATTATAACTTCTTCATTATTCGATATTTTTGAGCAATTCTTTTTGCGTATGATTCTCCTTGATGTCACCTCAATTTTCCCTTCACAAATCAAGAGTTGATCACGTGTAGAAGATCGCCAAAATTTGAATACGTTAGAAGTCGCATCATGGACTTTGACCTAATTTTAAGTAATTGTCGTCTGATTTCTAAGAATTGTGATTTCCACAAATTACAAGATCTTGAGACGATTATTTATGCGTATGGTCATAAGTGATGTCGCTCACGAGTTTATCTTCAAAGATCAAAAGAAAATTGTGTTTGGAAGACTTTGAAATTTATCGATTCATCGCAAGTCATTTGTTTGATTTCAAATGTTCTTAACCACAAATTGCTGAAGTTTGACGAATGGTCTTAAAGCATGTTTTATTAAGACAATGAAGTCCCATTTTAATCAAGTGTGGCGTGCGAACTCAGTTTGGTTACCAATTTGACTTGGACAAGAGGTGAGGATTAGGACTGTCACTTGGATGACCATGGCTTTAGGTTTGAGTTAACCAAGTTGGATTTGAATTCTTAGACATTTAAGAATTTTATTGGAGTACAAGGCGCATGTTTCATTTGATCACTTTGTGATTGCTTGAAATTCAAGAAACCAAATCATATTCTTCAGGCAAGTGGCCATATCTATTTGGAACCAAAATTCAAAGATGAAAGGTTTCCATTTGATATTAGTTGATCTTAAATGACTATAAAGTTTCATACTTGTTCCAAGTGGACTAAAGATTTATTAATTGTATTACCAAAGGAAAAAGATTACAAGACTTCATGTTTTATTCCAAAGAAGTGACAAAGTTATACATGTTCAACTACAAAAATTAAAACAAATTACAATTTTCCTATTTTTTTTCCTATACAAAAAAAAAGGAATTCTTAATTATTCTTGCTCCTTCAAGTATTCCATATTCTTCAATTCCTCCTTCATCACCTTTCCAAACTCATAAAAACATGAAATAAAAAAGGGGAAAAAAGAGTTAGTATATCAAAGCAATTAAAAGTGAATAAAGAATTGAAATTATTCTAATTCATCATTAGGGTGGTTTTTGTTGAATCAGAAAAGAAAGGTTTTGTGTTCTAAGGCCTCAAACAATTTCAGTTTTATCATAGGCCAAAATTCTATTGCAAATCTCAAAGGAATTGGTTCACAATAGACACCAAAAAATGCAAACAGAATTCGGCCCAACAGGATTCAAATAGAATTTCAAGCCCAACATATTTCATCCCAACATGATTTAAACAATTAAAAAGCCTCATACAAATTCTTGTTTAATCATTGACCTGGGAATTTGCCATCTTGCAAATCACAAGTGCAAGCTTGGTTCGCAAACAAGACAAACTAGAATTTCAAAATAATCAGTCTTTTGCAAATCACCAAATGGGTTCACAAGAGATAAAGAAGAAATCAAGAGAAATCAGATTTATCATCATTTCACACAAAGAAAAGAGGTATTCTCATGTGTTGCACTCCTCTACTGGCCAGATGGTTTATTTCTCATCTTCCCCAATCAGTCTTGAAGAATGAGCAAGGTTTGAGGTGGTCACAACGATTGATGACTCTTACACATTCAGATGTTCATTGGTGTTCTCGATCCAAGGAGAATGTTATCATCATCGACCGTTGTGGGAAATTCCCTAATGTCCCTCTACTTGGCATTAGGGGAGGCATCACCTACAACCCCTGCTTGGCTCTGAGACATTTTGGTTATGCCCGAAGGGATGGCCCATATGACATGCTGATTCCAGAATTGGTTTTCGACTTCGACAACGACGATCAAGGAATTTGACAAAGGTTTATCCGAGCTTGGAGGATGCCAAACAAGGTAGACAGTAAGACCTTGGGACACAAGAATTCCATCCCCCTTGAGCCTTACCTCAAGTGGGTACGAACCCGCGCCCAAAGTCTTATGATGCCTTACCCCTCTATTCTCCCAGTGATTATAGAGCCTGTTAAGGAAGGAGAGGTTCCATACACCCTCCTACATCGTGACATGCCAACATCACTCGAAGATCTGCAAAGGAGTTGGATACAGCTCAAGGGAGAACGCGATACTTTTGAAGCCCAATTCTATGCAAGCGAGAAGAAGGTTTTAGAACTCACTCGGTTACTTCACGAAGAGCAGACTCTCAACACCTACATTGCACCGAAGAGGATGTGCAACGTCTTTTTATCTTAGAATTTTGTACTATTTTGCCCTAGGGGCATTGATGTAAACGAATTCTATTTTATTAATATAACGTTTGTTCCTTTTTGTTTAACACAAATTTGAATTTTTCTGAATCCTTGAAAGCATTACATGAATACATATCATTCATCATATACATAAACAGGTCTTCACACCAAGTTTCCTCATCTCTCTGCTGTTTATTTCAGCAAGATGGATATTGAACAAACGGTCAAAGATTTGCAAGCTCAGAATTCACAATTTCAACAGCTACTCTTGACCTTGGCCAAGGGGAAGGAGGAGCTCAAGACTCTTCTAGAGAAGGAAAAAGAGAAAAAGAAGAAGAAGCGAGTTGGGGTGGTTCTCATGGGTAGAAGATTTGAAGGACAAGCCAGAAGGACCTTGGAATTTCCATCAACCTCTGAGGAAGGAGAGAGAAAAGGTAAAGAGATTGCAGTACCATCTGAATCTGAAGCTGGAGAAGAAGAGGAAGAGGACTACTCTGAACAACAGTACCCTCCGGCCGATGACAAATACAAAAACTTGGAAGAGCGTCTAGCTGCTATGGAGATACAGAGAGTACCGGGGCTGGACTTTGAAGATCTAGGGTTGGTATCTGGAATAGTAATCCCCTAAGTTTAAAGTGCCTCTCTTTTCCAAGTATGATGGTTTGTCTTGTCCCAAGATGCACCTACAATCTTATGTCAGGACAATTTAGCCACATTCTGCTAACAAAGACCTGTGGGTTCACTTTTTCCAAGACAGTTTGTCAGGCACACAACTTGATTGGTTCTACCAGTTGGAGAGGTCTGATGTGCATAATTGGGAAGATTTGGCAGTCGCCTTCTTAAACAGTATCAATACAACGCCGACTTGGCACCAACCCGTACTCAGCTCCAGAGTATGGCCATGGTGTCCAATGAGGGCTTCAAAGACTACGCCCAAAATGGAGGGATTTAGCCGGAAGGGTGCAACCACCTTTATCTGAAAGAGAGATAGTGGATATGTTCTTGGGGAATCTGTCAGGTCCTTTATTTAATCACTTGATTAGAATCTCCTCTGCAGGTTTCACTGTGTTGATTCTAACTGGCGAGAGGGTGGAAGCCGGTATTAGAAACAGAAAAATTCAGAAAGATGCGTCTACCTCTGCTGCTGCAAAAAAGCCCTTCATAGGAAAGAAGGAAGTGTCTGTTGTCTATGCACAGAGGAATCAGGGAAGAACCGAACGATGACCAACAGTTGGGGCCATCATGATTCAAAAGTC